ATTTGGTGTTAAGAGGTTGTGTGCATCTATAATGTTGTCAGGTGAAGTCGGTGATGAGTGGCGCTTGCTGACCGGAGTGCAGAGAAGGGCACCTCGGAGGTGATGACGGGAGATGGGTGAAAAAATATTTTGTAATACGATATTGATCTTGACATGTGATTCAACACAATTACCGCATTACTTAATTGAATGATAAACAAATGGTTGGTGTTTTTCTGCTGCAATTGATCTTGTTTGACTTCTTTGTTGCCTTCCTTCCTCGACGGTGTAGAATTTCGCGCTGAATCTAGCTATGGGATCCATGAGAACTGTGTCGATGATTAGCATTGTATGCGCATAGTGACAAGAGTGAAGTGTATCAGATTTTAGAGATGGATAAATCGCGGGTTTGACCGCAATAAGGATGTGAGAGTTCCGTTAGTTTGCACAAAATTTTCTTCCACTCGCGTAGAATAATTCGCCATGCTTAAATGGTAGAATGTTGAGAGCAAAAGTGGGTGGAGGGGGGAAAGAGTGATGATCTGTCTTCATGAATTTATTTATGAGTCAAAAGAAATGGGTGTTACTAATAAATCTCGGGGAATAATTGCAATTTACTACTAAAAGGGCAATCAATTTTTCAAGATTGATTGTACATTTGAGCACCAGAGCGAGTGTTGTATTTTTTATGGTAGAACCCTATCTTGTCTGCTTGCCAGAAGAGAGAATGTAGTCGACCGCGACACACGAGGAAAGAAGGTGCAATTAGAATAAGCAAAACAGCCAAGTCTCATTAAATTCACTTTATATTACCCCATATGATGATATAAACGCCTCTTCTAGTTACTCCTTGGCTGGTGGTGTGAATGTGTTTGTGTACAGTGCTTGAATAATTATAAAACTATAAAAAATAATTGTTATGCGATACTGAAATGGTTCCAAAGCTTGTGACCTTTTTGCCTTTCGATTTGTGTGTAAATTTTGAATGGGAACTCTTCTCTAAAGTGTCTGCCCCATGTGGTGTTCAAATTAATAACGAGGGAGCATTTCTTCGGCGATTTGTGTTGATCATGCAAAGTAAGCGTGCATGTATGAGAGGTGCATTTGAAGATGCAGTTCTGGAATAGAAATAAAAGTGTAGTAGCGCAATAATTCCTCGTGTGTTGTTTCATTGCAAATTTTATTGCTCATAACGAATGGTGAGGCCTCTAAAACTGTCTTGGGATATTGGCAAGGAGACCCCAACAAGCAACGACGGGGATAATAAATTCAATAAATATTAATGACGTATCCGGTCGAGAAATAACCCTATGTTCTCATCTGCTCTTCCTCCACAACATCTTCACGTTGTCACCGGTGGAGATTGAAATTATGACAGATCAAATTGCACTAGACACGCACTCTTTGGCGATTTTCTCTATTTTGCGTTCAGCCATTTAACCTCCGCGCCGGTGTCTTCTGCCGTCCTCGGGCCCCAAGGGAGTGTCAATCTGTCTTATATTGGCGATTATCCGAGGGAAAAGTGTGAGCGACAGTGGACTTTGGACATGCCGGGATGCCATCATGCTGGGGCAAGATTGTGGAAATATACTCAATGATCTATGGTGTCATCGGGAAATCATTTAGGTGATGACGCTCTCCAACTGGTCTCTGACACCATACGTGACCGCTGAGGTGATCAAACCCATCAACTGACGATCACCCAATGACCACAAACATCTTAATACGTTTATAATCGATCTTCGACGCTCTGTGCACAGCCCATTCTTCTTCACACTCTCCCATTGCATTCGAAAACAATTTATTTGTTGCTCTATGATCACTATCACTGCCGGCCAATCATTATGTATTTTATGTATGACTTTTATTGTCTCACACTTGACTAGGTGCGCTAGAGAGAGAGTAATGAGTTAATGGGCTGGAGAGATGGGATTTTGTGACGAAGTTAACAGAAAAAAAGTGCCACAAAATTGTGAAGAAGTAAAAAAAAGGGAGAAGTAAATAAACGAAAGAATGTGAGAAAAAGTCGAAGAGACACTGTGAGTATAAAGAAGGCACCCTTTTTGGTTGTATCTCCTTCTCACTTTTGTGAGTGAATAATTAAATTCTCAGGTAATTCCTGGCGTGCGCATTTGCCATGGGTGCAAGAATGGGCCAGGCATAGCAGAAAGAAGTCGAGAAGAGATAATCAGTAATCATTGGACGGCTGTGCATCGCTAATTTCAATTAAGCTCCCGCTTAAATCATGAAAATTGATTACACTTGAACACTTTACAATGCGCACTGTACGAATAGAGATGATTAAATATGGCATTTTAAAATCCCTCTGCAAACTTCCAAGACATCCGATGCTGTGCTGCGAGCGCGGCGCAATTATAGCTATTGTGTGTGAGGGAGATGGATTGCGAGACATGTGCATGGCGCTTCTTGCAGGGCGTACAAGAGCATCGGCGAAAGATCAACATTGAACTAGATAGAATTGTGTATATTTCACATTATATGGCTAGAACGTGATGGTACGTACGAAAAGTGATCATCAATAATACATGGGGCTGAGATGAGTGCAAAGGAGAGAAAGAGAGGGAATTCGAGTCATCCTCCTTGCCTGCCTTGTGCTGTCCCTGAAAATATTTCCCCTACAGCATATCTTCGACAAATCTCTCCTGGGATGTTGTCCTCTAAATTATCTTCCAGTCAGGTGGCATCATCTCGATCAGGTGGCAATAGATGCCGCATACAAATGACCCCAATTACCCCTCTCTCGGCCGCCGATCTCCTTCGTCCCGATGACTGAAATCACTTTGGAGAGCGCAGGGAGAGGAGGATATTGATTTGATGGGTGGGAATCCAATAAAGTTTCCAGGGTGAGAGAAATATGATAATCTCGCACAATAAAATTTCATTGTTGCCTTGCGTGAATGGTTAATTCTAATCAATTTAGTGGGGAGAGATGGGGCCACGAATAGAAGCAGGATATTATTACCTAAAGTGTCTGGAGTTTGTTGTGATCGTGATCGTAATTTACGATGCTAGACGGCGAGAACAATCATCATCTAAGTAGATGGAATTTTACTTAATAACAAATCATATGGTCATGCTTTTCTTGTGGTCTTTTACAATCGCGTTGTCGGGTGGGGTCTTTTTTATTGGTGCCATCTTCTTTCGGACGGGGCCTGTCTTTGGCAGCTGGAAACTGATCTTCGTCTCTATAATGAGATTCTCCCTACTGAGGGTGCTCTGAGATAAATTGCGAAATAGCATAATTTTCACACTTGATACGCCTCATGGTGCAATTTTTCAATTTATCCAAATTATACCTGGGAGGAATATGAATTTGTGATGCAGTAAATTTTATAGATCATCATGATACCAATCTCCATGAAGTGGAGAAGGTGATAGAAAAAAAGACACAGGTGTATTGATCTGAGGTGCTCAGTGTGTGCCGCGAGGATGATGAGTTTCCTCTTCATCCAATATACCTCATATTCTGGGCACTATTGAGGGGTTCAATTGCTGAATGATGGCTATGAAAATATTCATTTAATTTGACGAGAGAGTGAGATTACGTGTAAATTTCATTAGTCATTTACCCATGGTTGATTAGAACTTTAACCTTTGGGTGCATTTAAGTGAATTTTTTCTTCCTATGAGTTGAATATCCCATAAAATACACTAATAGTACTATAAGGAGCGCCTCTTTTTCTTCAGCATTAATATCTCGTGTGAGTAATCATTCTCATCTTACGGCAAAGATCAAACAGGTGGAATGAAATTTTTTGACAGTAAATATTTCTCTCTCTGGAGGCCCCATTTTCATCATCTTGGCCCATTCATGTGACAAGATATGGGGAAACTGTGAAAGTAAATAGACAATTGACTAATGGAGTCTCAGTGTTTTATTTTTCTCCTTGTGTACCCTCCTTTTTTCACATTAATATTTTACTATCTATTTCCACATATCTGGAGGTGAGAAACTGGATACATATTTATGTTGACTCTCTTTCTCCATGTGGTCTTTAGAACCTGACTGATAAATTCTTCCAGATGGTGTGAATTAAAAGTGGGTTCAATTGTCACAGAGCTATCGTAAATAATGGTGAGTGTGGTATGTGCGGATAATTTAAATGTTGATAGAGTCATCATTTATGGGCTTTCTGCTGGTGTAATTCCAAATGAACATTTTTATTGGTGGTGTGGCATTTTTGCGTTCGCACACAGTGAGTGTCAGGAATTCACAATGGGGTTGGAGAGTCGACGGCCCACACGTTCGTCCAGAATATAAAGGTTGATATGCGCGAATTGTGAGGCAAGAAGAACGGTAGTTTAAACACACACCACACGATATTATTATTTATTATGAATTTGTACGCCACCAATATATTTTCCGGTAGTGTGTCGACTGTCATTTGTCGATGGACTCTGGAGGTTTTGCGGAGAAGCAGGTGAATGAGTCAGAGTTAATATGTCTTGCGGATGCCCAGGAAGAACTTCTGTGTGTTGGCTGGCTGACCGCACGGAAATTGATGCATGTTCAGGGGAGTGGGCAAAAGGGGATAAGGTGAATTGTGTGAATGAGGTATTTTCCTTGCTGATCTCTTTTTCATGGCCACTCTGTGTGTAATGTGGTTGTTTGTATGAAAACATCAAATCACTTTCCGGTATTCCATCGGATGCGTGAACGCGAGAGAGAAAGAGAGATTTTCTTGGGATGCAATCACTAACTAGTCTGTGAGTGCGCAAGAATGCCTCGGAGAAAGACTTGGAGATACTCACTAAATACTCGCAATTATTTATTGGTTAGACCAGAGAGTGGTGGCAGTGCGGTTGGCAAACAAACGGAATTTGTAAAATTATAACTGTTTCCACATATGCTTTGTACGATAAGGACACTAATCGCGCGAGTTCATGAAATGTATGAAATGCCAAACATATATTGATCTCTTTTTCATCAAGTTCTTGAGGAATAAACTTGGTGGAATTTTTGCTAATGACGCTTCTTTTTCTCTTTCTTCTCTTTATAGCAAAAATGAAAATATTTTTGCCGCTAGTCACGTGGATTGTGCTGTTCTCGAGTACGGTAAGTCACAGAATTAATTGTCTTATTTCTTTTTCTCACCTGCAAATTTGATGCGGAAATACCGCAAAGACGCTTCGGGCATATTTATCATCTCTATGCATTATGGCCTCTCTCATTGCGCACAAGTGCATGGCAAGAAGACGCGTTGAGGTAAATATTCAGCGATATTTGAGAAAAACAGTGACGCAAGATTGTGAGGTGTGAACGAGAAAAGTTAAATTGGTGGCCTTTCTGCATTGCTAAAATGGCTAAAATCAATTTTGAGACATTTCATGGATACTTTGAAAAAACCTCTGAAGTGAGATCTCAATTGTCTCGGCCAACAATCGGAAAGAGAGGGTTTTTTTTCTTCTTGTTGCGGCCAAATGTTGGGCATTCAAGACTATTTCGTGGCTATTGGGTGTCTTGCAAAATACAAGTGTGATTCAATTGTTGGAGGAAGAGAAGCGGGTAAAAAATCGCTTTCGCTTGACTTTAGGAATTTCATCATTTTTTCTCCATCGCGGTTCATGGCGTGAATTATGTACAAAAAGAGTTGATCTGTAGAAATGTCTGACGGTGCCTTGTGAGCAAGAAATTGGAATTGGACGATGAAATGGGGAGGAGTTCTTGTGGTGAGAAGAAATATTTCATCAATTTTTTTTTTCGTTGCTTAGTCTCTTCCTCACGGATTTCGATGGCAAAAGGTGTTAAGTGCCTTGGAATGAATTGCTGTAATTATTCGTGTAAATATTTGATTGTTGGCGTCAGGATATGTGGGATAAATTCGACATATACATACAATCGACGAGGTAGGGGTGCGTATTGAGATGAGTTCCAGGAATAAAAAAAACGTATTATCTCCTCTCGTGGGGAATTGGAGGTTGAATCTCGACAGTACTTTTGCTTTCTCAGAGTGTTTATTGTTGGTTCTATATATGTCTTCTTTCATCACCTCCACAACGAACAAGATGAAGAGATATTGACGGATATGAGAGTGGTGTAAATTGTTGTAATGTTAGAAGGCTTGTTTACTATCTCTGCTCATTTAATTAAGTAATTTGGAGGAGTTAATAAATGGAGGCGGGAGTTTGTTTTTGTTCAGAAAGAATTTCTTTTCTCCTTGCCATGGAAGAAAAGTCAATAGATGAGAGTTTTTGGGCATTGTCAGGCTGAGAATGCTCGAAGATGAGCATTCGTGGGAGTTTGTCGCCAAGAATTCCTTCTGACGGGTGAATAAAACATGTATTGCACTCTGGGAGGCGATGTATGGAGAATAAATATTGGGAGAGATTTTTTTTTTCTCCATACAGTATAAAAGGTTAGCGCAATGTGGAGAATTTTGAAAAGTCCAATGAACTATGGAATTGTGTGGCTTTTGTACAGCACATATACTTTCGGTATTTAAAGACATTCATGACTCAATGATTGCGCGGCTCATGGTGGATTTTTGGGAGACTCTCTGGGTATAAAAAGCCGTAAACGAAGAGAGTGACGGGAAGTTGAAGAACACCAAAGATGTATGGGAATACCTGAATACAGTGTAACTATCCGAAAAGTGAAATTCAGACTTGGAATATTAATGGGCCATAAATGATGAATAAGTGGAGAGCAGAAAAAATAGATGTGTTTTGCTGAGATTGACGGTCAGATGAGGGTTTGGAATAAAATTGGAAGTCAGAACTCTTGCATACACTCGGATTGTTTGCTCTTCAAAGACTACAAATACGAGATGTTTTGTGTGATTGATCAATTCCATTATATGGAACAAGATATTTGGTGAAAGGGTTCCCGGAAAGTCCAAGATGAGCTATTGAGAGTAGAAGTAATTAAAAATGGTTCAAATTGAATGATGGTATCGGTGGATCGTCGCAAAAATTATATAACCGTGACGACGTTTTATCTATCTTCTCACGGCGCTAAACATGTTCTTGTATTCCTCCGGAGAGACTGTACAGTTAGTCTTGCCAGAGGCTAGGAGAATCTCTCCAACTTATATTACGACTCAATAAACGTTCCTTTTTCTCCACAAGTGAACTAGCATTTGAAGAATGTGCACATATGAGAGAGACGAGATCGCCAATGATCTGTTATTCAAATGTCTCCTCTTCCATACGGCCTGGAAACGAGCCATGATGGACGAATTCACTTAAGACGATCGTTTAATGATTTTTCATCCAAGTCAAAATACGCCGATATGTCGATAGAGAGAGACTTTGAGGGGAATTGAGGGGAGATCAAAAGTAGGAGAGCTTGTTTCATCTGCCCAACATACGCAAAATAGGCGCAGAATGGCGAGAAGATTGAAGAGGAAGATGCTTAATTAGAACGACAAAATGCATTTTGCAAGATTATTTTGCGATACATCGCGACCATTTTGCCTCTTCGTCCATTTCTTATCTCATTTCCATTCAATCGTCGTATAGTTTGCTTACAAAGTGCTATCGAATTGGATTTTATATGTCTCAATCGAATTCTAGCCATTTAACGATATGGTAATGTATTTGTGTCTTATTACAGTAACTTTTACAGTTTCCTCGTGCATTTTTCAAACTCAAGAGATCACTGATCACCTATTGAGGTAGATCGTGAAAGATCGCTGGCTGGATTTTGAAGTGAGGCGACTATGAGATTTATATGGAAATTATTTATTAATTTTTTTTAACACCTCTCCCATGGGAATTTGTCAATGATACTAGGATCCCTCTCGTGATTTATAAAGCTCTCTCTCTGTCTCGCTGATTGGAGTTGATAGTCTTTGGAGTGTTGTTTCCTGTTCCACGAGATTTGTTATTCAACCTATTTTCTTTTGCATGTCATTTTAACGCAAGTGGATTTTCTTGACAGACTTTGCATAGCACGTATAGCCATTTCGTTTGCAAGATATAATAAGGAACACTTGCTGATGGTGTCTCAATAAGATGAAAAAAAAAGAAAATCCATACACAAGATATCGCGAGATAATTAACGAATTAATTTATGTGCAATTGGATGGGTTTTTCTCAATACAATTGTATACAAAGTATGTGTTTGTTTTGCATGGCTTAAACTTGGACTTTTCCTCACTTTGCATAGTGCGATATTGCTTTGTGTGTCGGGTGGATAAGTTGAGTAATTAAATATTCAATGCATTTACAAAATGTGAATAATGAATAAAGATGGTGAAGTAAGGTAGTCCGAAGTGGATATTTTTTTATATTAGAGTGTGTAGGCAGTCGGATACAGTGAAGAGCGCCGTGACTGACGATTTAAGTATACCAAATTGAGTTTCTTTCGTAATGTTGTGTGTTTTTTTTTTTTTAACTTTACGATTAAGGAATCAATATTGTATAAGAAGAACAACACTGTCGCCGACAAAACGTGTCATTTGAATAAAGAAAGTTTGACTGCTGAATGGAGGTGTTTCTTGTACGATCACCTGATCGTTTCAAGTCACAACATTGTTGAGAGAAACACCCATGAAAAAGGCACAAGTCTCACTATAGAGACGGTGGAAATTTATTAGGCATGTTCTGCAATTTTTCTAAATCTTCTCGCCATATCTCTTCAGAACAATAGAGCTTAGATCGCACAATTAACTCAGCAACTCCCTGATGATCCACAGCGTGCTACTACAAGAACGCTAAGAGACTGGATAGATTGTAAATACGAAAAATTTTTCGTGCCTTCGCTAAAATCCACAATTGCGATTGACTGACGTGTTCTTGACGGTTCTATGTAATTATCTAATTTCATTTTATACCTTTTCCCCACATCATATGTGTATTCTTCATATAGAAGACTCTCTGTGAGATGTATGTATTTTTTTGAGTAATACACTATTATTTTTTCTCTCTGGAGATTCTAATCAAGCATAGAAACATGTGCTCTATTCGATGAGTGTGCCGTACTTTATGTAAATACATGTAGCAGAAAAATGAGGCAATATTTTCAAAGATACTAGAACCGTTTTTTTTGTTTGTCGTGTTAAACATTTTTTACTATTTTCATTTAATATCGCTTCTTGTCCGTTACAAGATCATTTACTGATTAAATTTAACTTATACGGCAAATGTCTGTAATTATGGTATTCTCAGAGTGTTTTTCCTGTGCGGAAAAAAGAGTGATTTGGTAGAGAATAGATTGAAATGTAGAGTAGAGCTAGAGGTTAAGGTAACATTAACATGACACGTTTTGCAGCGCAATTTGCAGAAGGATGAAAAAACACGTGCTTATCATGTATATTTAATCACAGTTCCTATCGAAGTATTTTCGCTACTTCTTGAGATTTCCCCTATTTGCCAGCATCTCTAAAATCTCATCAATCTTTGCCAGTGATTTTTTTGCTCAATTTGTTGATTTTTCCAGTTATTTTTTATGCCTCTTGGCTAATCATTCCAACTCATCCTCGTGGCATTGCATCAGACGTATATTTTCGCAAGGAGGGAATATATGTAATTAATTACTGTGAGACTGTATAGCCTAATTGCTTAATTAGTTTACGATGATGTTGTGAAATTTATGAATAGTAGGTTCTTTGCAAATAGCAGGCAATTCTGGCATCCACAAATTAGTTCCATTTAATGATTATTTTGGCTAATCAAACGTTTTTGAATAATCTCAATTTCCATGGAGGTTGGCTTTTTTCCGCACTTGCGTGCGTCTCATGGTGAGGTCACAGTCAAAATGTGTAGCATTGGTGATCATTAATACTGGCGAATTTTAAATTGAAAATTATGGAAAATTATAGGAGTTAAGTGGCGCTAAAAGTCGATTGATATAAAAGAGAAGGTTTTTATTCTTCCTTCGTCTCATCATTTTTCATCTCTCCTTAATATTTAATTGCAGTTTAATTGAATTTACACCTCGTTAGGCATTCACACAGTATGCAAGCGATCAACAGACATCACCATAATTGCCACTGACTATAAAATTATTTTTCCATTAAATTTCCACCGAATCTCTGGGTCGTTGGTTTGTGAATTGTTTGGAGATGGAGAAGAAAGATGAGGGAGATTTCTTTCAAAATTATCACTAGCCAA